TTAAACCGTGTGTGTTAGGGATGGCTATGTTACGAAACTTAAGAGACGAGAATTGATGTATGACCATTTCAAAGTGCTTGGAAAATGAAGGAACAAGAGAGAGATAGGTCTATAGTTAAGGACATCAGCCCTATTTTCTGTCTTTAATATTGGAACCACAACAGCTATTCTTCATTTTTCTGGAAATATCCCCGACCTCAGGAAGTTATTAAGTACAGTGCACAAAATGGATAAGATTTAGTATTTCTGAGGGTATTCTGGCACTCCAGCAGATAATGTGGCTCTCATTTTCTTAATACATAACGCAACACATTCTTTATCGACATGAATGCTACTGAGTAGGTTGCCGAACCCAGTCAAATGAAACAACGTAGGAGACGTCGAGTCGGAGCTGTTTTTATAGACTAAACCAAGATGAGCTGTAAACAACTACGTACACTCACCGCATCGCCTCCATGAAATTCGGAAGCTATCTCCGATCTTACTAGCGTACCTCCAGAATCTCTTTGGATATTTCACAAGATCCTATTCTACAGACTCGCGGTGAAGTTTTTGATCACAGTTAATTAAACGGTTGAATTGTTTTCTAGCGCTCTTAATTCTGCTTCCCACTTTGAGAGGCAGTTTTTTTTGTTTTTTTTCTATGCAAGAAGTCTTTTTTGACCAAGAGAGATTTTAGTTCTAAGGATAACCAGTTAGGAAAGTGAGAATTTTTTGACGTTCTTAATGCAATGCATATCTCCATAGCCCCCAGAACAATTCTCGTGGGGCAAGTGACTTGCTCATTCACATTGATAGGCTTAAGAACAGATGCCCAGTTGACATCCGTAAAATAATAGTGCATTTAAATATAGTCGCCTGCCGAGAAATTACTATACGAGGTGTGAGGAAGGCATCTTTAGGAAGGAGGAGTGCAAACTGGTGAAATACGGGAGAACACTACATCAAGTGCAGGGTGATATATATCTTCAGGGACCAATGGGGATTGACTCCGAACGATGGAAACGCGTTCCATACTAGAGAAACATGAATCTAAAGAATTCTCCTGGTTGTTAAAGGGGTACTCTGGCGATTTTTTTAGCTGCCTCAACTAACTATATTTCCTGACTCCCCGGCCTTTACCCTTTCCGGTATGCTATTTAGTATCACGAAATTCATAATAGTTATTGCCAATGCGGCAAATGAAAATGGTGCAAAAACCAACATTCAAACATACGCGCACTTTTCAGTGCCGTGACGTCAGTGGCGGGCAGGCTTGCCAGTCGAGCGAGCAGTCTAAAAAATAGAATATGCCAATCATTTGTTCCGTGCTGGAGCACGGGGATTGGAGCGAGCATCCAAAGCATTCATTTGACACCATGAAACTGCTTCGAATCAGTTGGGAACAAATTCTACAGTCCAAAGAGGGAACCCCTGCACTTTAACTGACGTCACTTTTTCGTTGTTGCCAGTAGAGACTTTCAGTTTGAGAAACACGGTGAGGACCAAAATTGTAAATTCTATAACTTCGCGAAAAAAAAAATTATTTTGACCTAATATTTGGGATACTATTTTGGCGATGTTGTTTGGCGAGTTTAGCAAAATTTCAAGCCAATCGGGGACCATGAAGAAATTGCCAGAGCACCCCTTTAAGAGCATAATTGTGCCGTCTGAGATCTAAAAACGATACGAAGTTCAGTAGACGGCTGCATTTCTGCTTGCAATAAAAGTTGTCAGTGTGAACATTTAAATTTGTCCAGTTAATACCTGGAGCGTTAAAGTCCCCCATTATCAAAAGGTTGCACCTATACAACTCTTTCACTATATTCTCAATGTTACAAGACGCCTGATGAGGTGTAGTTTGAGGAGGGGGATAAAACAATCCGAATAAAACACCCGCTTTGTGCACTCGATTTCAACCGATAGACACTCAGGGGACCCCTCTAAATCCTCGCGTCTTTTTGAGTTGTACCGCCTGTCAACTGCAATCATCACACCACCTCCTATGCTACCTCGCAAAAAAAAGTCACGATCGCGATGAAAAAAATTTCAAAATAGGGCGGAAAGTTATCTTCAGAGCTAATGGTGGGACGCAACCAGGTTTTCAAGCAAGCAGATAAAAGAATAGTTAGATACAGTAACACGAGAAAAGAAACACTCGGCCTTCGTCCGAAGACCACAAAATGTTTTGATAAGACAGCCTAGTCTTACTCATCAGTGTTTTCTGCAGTGGTTTTTGGCCACTTACCGAGATACTTTGAGCAAATCATCTTGAAGAACAGCTCTGAAGGGCTTGAATAAACCCCAGTCAGCGCAACGGTTCGAGCCCTCGGGCATGTGGACATGGGCATTGAATGTGCCGTTCGCTCGTCATGTCCGTCACCCTTGGAGGCAGGCGGATCTTCGAGCATATATTGATTGAGTAAAATTATATGCACGGGCGCGTGCACGTTGACTGGAAATTGCTATGCACACGACGTTTTGAAACTCGTATAAAACGAATGGTTAGAACGAATTTCCGAAGCGGTAGCGTAGCTAAGTGGCAAGGTGTCTGCCTCATACGCAGCGGACCCCGGTTCGGTCTGCAGTGTGGACTTACTTTTTTTTTTTCTTTTTTCTTGAACATTTTATTTTGTCGATATTTACTACATTTCTTTTTTATGATTAACACTTAAAAAAAAATGTTGCCAACAAAATTTTGCTGAACTAAAGGGTATAAGACTTCCTTTCCGGATGTGCAATGAAGGAAAGCAGGGCTTGGGTTGTCAGCTGGACGCCGCAACGCGGCGTGTACGGAGGGGGGGGGTGCCAAGTGGGTTAATACTTTTGCACTTAGCAGCCACACACTGTCGCTGTGAAGCGGCGTGAACGCAGGTTGGGGGGGGGGGGGGCGGGGAGCTTTACTTATATCGATTTCCACCATGCCCGTAACATTTGCGCCTAGAACCGAGAGGAGTCGGACACCCACCCAACGATTCCGATGCTAGAGATGCCGCGGATCTCCCAGCTCCAATAGTCTGTCCTCTTGGCAGCCCGAGGGGGTGAGGAATCTGAATCTGCGCATTCCTGGCTGTCAGCCATGGTGAACTAGAAGGCTGGAGGCCCCCGACACTCTGCCCGAGGGCAGACACGGGCCACGGCAGCCGGTTTCAAAGCTGCGCCGGCCTCCGCTCTCCTCAAGCCTGTGATTTCTGCAGGGCCCGCCTTTACGTCATCGCACAGTGAGCAGACGAGCTATAGCGAACCAGAATAAGGCGGGGAGTGGAAAAAGCGGCGGCCTCCATGTGAGGCACTTTGTGTAGAATCTATCAGGTGGCACTGGCGTTCCATCCCGGACCACTTCTGCCGGCGGCGAGCCCGTTCGAAGCGTAGCTGGTTTCAACCTTAGTGGTTCATTACCACGGCCTGTATGTGTTTCATGGATGTTGCAACGTCTATGAATTAATGTTTAAAGTTTATTCGCGTAATGTAGCGATTTTGTGTTTTCGGTACGCTGTAGTGTTTGCCCTGGCTGGCTGGCTGGCAAACGCTCCTCCATACGGACCCGTCTACCTGCCTAGTCTTGCAAGGCACCCAGAGTATCTTGTCTTTTTGGAAATAAAGACCATAATTAGTATTCTGCTTTGATTTTCAGTTATATGCCCATAATAAATGCGTGTACCACTTTCCTTTGTTAAAGAACATGCCATTGTGAAAAATAATTGTTGAAAAGCTACACTTCCATTTGGAACGTGCTGAACGAAGGAAAAGTAGGTAAAATACTCGTAATCATTGTGGCACTCTTTGTGGCACTATTTCTGGAGTGTTGTAGCGTTCGACTTCCGCCGTCCGCCGCAGGTGATCAATCAGACGACTCTTTCCTTGGGGTCAAGCGGGGTTTATTACCATGACTCCTGGATCCCGACCTGGCCAAGACTCGGGACAGCAACTCCTGTCGGCCGCACTGGCCACCCCTTTTAAGCCCGTGCGTATGCAATGGGCACCGGGAGCCGCCCCCCCGCTAGTCGCCGGTTTGGCCGCCGTGTGGCGGGCCGAGCGCCCCACACCTCTCCCACTTAGAGGTCGAGGTCTAAGATGGCCTCCTCGTGGGCCGGGTCGCGGAGCAGATCCGGGCGGAATCGGCGGAGCACCCGGATGGCCTCTGCGACTTTCAACGAGCGGGGAGCTGCCGGAGGTGCAGCAGGAGGTGGTGCGGCTCGGCGAGCCCAGTCCGCGGCGACGCGAGCTTGGTGCAAGGCGCCCGCCAGGTGGATGGGGTGGTGCAGTTCCGGCACTCCGCAGACGGGGCACAGCAGGCATTGAGGCTCAGGCTGTAGAAGCTCTGTCGAGCCTGCTTCCTCGCCTTCATGAGGGCCTGAAGAATGATGTTGGATGAAGCTCTCCTGTCGTCGCCGAATCCACCCTGGAGGTCGTGGAAGACGTGATCTTGCGCGAACCGTCGGAGCAGCGCCCTTGTGTAGATGCGCAGTAGGATGGATGAGATGGTGATGGGCCTGAAGTCTCCGCCAGTAGTGGCCGAGCGGGACTTGGGTATGAAAACTCTTGGCCACCTTGAGGTCCTCGGGAAGCATAGCGAAGGCCAACCAGTTGGTGAAAATGATGGCAAGAATGGCTGGTGGAATCTGGAAACCTCGTTCAGGGTAAGGCCGTCCGGGCCAGGGGCAGTCTTTGCGTCGGTGTTCTTGAGCACTCTTTGGAGCTCTCCTTCGGTGAACGGCTCCACCTCTACGTTGAGTACTTGTTCGGATGTTATGAACCCGTCAACCGGTCTTGGTGGTGTAGACATGAGAAGGTCGTAAACCCGGTGGAGCTCCGAGAAGAGGACTGCTGGGTCAGCCCAGTCCAGCCCCAACTCGTCGACGAGCACCTTAGGCCCCAGACTGTACAGCCGTTGATGTTCTGCATAGCGTTCGTGACGGCGCTGGTTACGGTTCTTGGCTAGACGATGCTTCTTTTTCTTGCTGCCCTCGGTGCCTTCCCTCTCCCCAGGTCCTCTCCTATCTTGATGGGGTCCAGCAACCCTTGAGCGATGGTGACAGGGGTTCCTGGTGCGGGCTGCAGACGCACCCAGGCAGATCCGGCGTCGTGAACGCGGACCGGTTGAATAGGAACCGGCTGCTTGTGTGCCGCCGCCTTGAAGGTCTCCAGGATCTCCTTGTAATGGCGTGTATTTCGCTGCCCTGTGATTCCCTGTGAGGACTGGGTGGTGAATACCCTGGCAAAAGCAAGGTTCATATGAGGGTGGTCCTTGCAGGTGATCTCTGCCCTGGCCAGTGCCGTCAGTTCCGAGACGGTCCACCGCGCGTTGAACTCTGCTGGTGGAAGAGAGTTTGCGGTGCCAATGTACGTGTGACCTCTGCGATGATGGATTTAGCAAAGGGACCAGGAACGATGACAGTTGGCGGGGTGTCTGGCGAGGGGCCACAAAGGGATGAAGTTCGGAGTAAGGGTGAGACATCCTTTCCCCGTCGCGTGCCGAGCTCCCTGCGCATCGCCTCTGCGCACTGGGGCACCAGACGGTAGTCCCGGACGCTCTGCCGTGTTCTTCTTGGCATCAATGCAGCGAGCTCTTCGTCACTACGCATGCACAGAGAAGCTTCGAGCTTGCACAGCACGAGTGCCTGAGTGTCCCTCTCTGTCCAGGGCCTTGCCTCCGGTGTAGGGGGGATATCTCGGGGGGTGACCGGGGTTGGAGAATGATGTATGGACTTCTCGCTTCACCGCTGTGGTCTTGGCGTGGTGAGGGGTGATGAGGGTATGTCCGTCTGCAGGCCGGAGGAATCTTGCACTGATGGCAGTGGTCCCCCTGGAGTGGCAGTGGGGGGCTCACCATGTGCAGGAACCCTGGAGTCCGGCCGAGGTAACCTGCTCCGCAGCTGTTCTTGCTGTAGCAAGTCCCTGTACAACTTCCGCCCCCTGATGCCCTTGATGGTTTGCCAAGGTACCCCTGCGTACCCCTTGGCGAGTTCTTTGTTGGTAAACTTCATCTTGGCGGGCATCGACAATTCTTGGACCGCCAAAGTCCTGACGTCCTCCGTGGTCCAGTCACCTGCTGGTGGGAGACGCAAAGCAGGGGTGCTGGTTGTGAAGGGCATCGACATGTCTGCCCTCTTGGAGTCCCGGGAGAACTCTGGGTGCTCCTTCTCCTCGGTGTGACTTGCAGGGGAAGGAGTGGAAGCCTGCGGAAGTTCGTTGCTGGCCACACTGTGTGAGTCGGCGTTCGTCACTACGGTTGAAGTGGGCGATACTAATGGTTTCTTCCGACACCTTGTGTAATGAGACGACATGGAGGTGCTCTTGGTGTACGTTTTGGCGAGGCAATAGAAGCACCTCCGTACGAAGTGACAACTATGAACATGTTCGTAGTGCCCCCCAGAGAGATGCGAGAAGTTAGTCGTTTGTCGCACAGGTGGCAGACAATCTCCTCTGAGGGATACAGCCTCTCAAAGGTTTGCTAACACGCTAGGTGATGGATGAGTCCCTGACATGCTGAAATAAATAGGAAAAAAAATATGAAGCACTATTCCCCCAGCCGCTTGCGACACAGGGTATTTGTATTTAAGTGTAGGCTGTGAGGCCGAGAGGGAGAGCCTGGTAATGTGGCCTGTGCTGTACAGGCCACAGTAACTTGTTCAAAAGGTACAAAGTTCCCTAGAGCACTAGATTATACTAGTCCTGCAGACTACGCCACTACATGTAGTGAAAACCAGCTAGTGGTGCCCTGCGTAGCCCCAAAGCGTAGATCCGATCCACAGGGCTGCATGCCGAAGCACAAAAAAAACAACCCCAAAAACCATGTTTATTGCGCCAAAGTGCCGAACTGCGCTTGATTACGAACAAAAAAACCTACAAATGTTGCTAAAAGAAAGAAAAGAAAAGTGAAAAGACGTTTTTCTCTGCTGCTAGTCTAACAGAGGTGGTGAAATCCACGGGTGGAACGTATTGCCCTCTGTTGATGGCCGGCGCAACTAAACAAAGTTGCATGCGCTCCCAGTTCGCGTGCAAAGTTCGAACTGGAAACCGGCAGAGCTGCCACGAGAAAAAAAAAAGGATGGCAGTGGGACCAGGGACTTTTGTGCGTGGTTCGACGCACCGAGACTGAAAAAAAAATGTTTAGTGTAGGAACCAGCGGTCCACTAGCGCCTAGCACTAACTCCAGCAGCCAAAAAACGAGTGACCGTTAAGGGGTGAAGAAAGCCTCAGCGGCCGGCTGCTCACACGTTTGGAGAGGTGCTGAAACTGCGCTGGCGGACTTGAGAATCTTCCAAGAGCAGCGGGGGGTACCCGGCGGTGTCCGGGAGCACGCAATAGTCGTGGAGGCGTGCGGACCTGGCCAAAGGCGCGATCGCCGGGAACTCGGCTCGCTAACCAAACGCAGCCGAAACGAAGCTGACTTTCTGTTTACCCACAAAATACCCAAGGCATTTGGCTTTTTTTTTTTTTTTTAACGAGTAGGACTTGTGCACAAAAATCGTTTCCTCGCCCACCCCTTCGCAGAGGCATCAGGCTGATCTTTGGCATGAAGTCTGGAAGTCCTTATCCTCTCCAAGGGAGAGGGACCCACCAATAGCCCCATGGCAACACACAACCGCCGGGGCGCTTCATCGCCCGTGCACCACGGAGGTCATCTGCTGATGCCGACGAAAGCACCTGACCCCCCCCGAAGGCAAAGTATAGTCAATACCTTAAAATCCTGTCTACCAAACCCAAGATTGGTAAGAGCTGCAGCACTTTTTGGCGACCAAACACTTGATATATATGTGATAGTCAAACTAGTCACAACCGGTGCAACACTATTGGCCCCTTTAATAATATCCAGAAGCTCTGGAACACTATAGTTTGCACCTTCCGCTCATGTGCGGCATCTGGGGTGGAATACGTACCCACCACCTGTGTATCAACCAGTCATCTGACTACCTCCTGCAATAACGAGGTCTGGCACATGTTTCTGTGTTGCGGTGTGGCACTCGGGTTCTACCAGCACCTCCCATCCCTTTTCTTTCAGAGGACCAGGAGCATACTGCACTAAACTATCATGTCGTTTGATTCTGGCACTGTGCGTGCAGAAGCAATTTTGCGTAATGTGTCCCAGTGACTCCGCGGAGTCACAACCGGCCCGACGAGTCAAGACGTCCCGACCCCTCTTAGTCCTAGTCATGTGAGGAAGCGCATTTGCCCTCGTCTTTACCAAATCAATGAACCTCTTTCCATTCATCGGACGTGTACCTTTTCCAACCCACACCTGCGAAGACGGTACACGTGAGCACTCCTTCAGGGCAGCACCGTCTGCACTCTTGTGCCACTCTCTCGCCCAAAACCTGGATACAGCACCCCTAGATCGAAGCACCTTGCCCTTAAAGATGAACGACCGTTCTAGTCAATCTTTCAAGTCGACCATGTGCGGCAGCTGCAAGGCCACGGCGCACGCAGGATGCGATGACGTGCCCAGTGCCAACAATCTATGCAGTGCCATACCTGGTATGGCGGTACGTAAACAAGGGGCACCAAGAGAGTCATAGTTACTCCCGCCGTTTATTCGCGCTTTGATGAATCTCTTCACGTTGACATTCAGAGCACTGGGCAGAGATCACATTGCATCAACACCGACCGGAGGCCATTGAAGAGTGTGTCGGTCATATCGCTTTAGGTTCCGTCCACAGGGACCAGCAGCCATCTCCCCCTTTCAGCCTTCTCCTCCCATTTACACATAATGCCCCTTTAAATTGAATATAAATTGGAACTAAATTTATTGGTAGCTCTCGACTGAATTCAAACCCATGTGCCCACAGTTTGGAGCGCGGTGCTTTAACCACTCTGCCATCGGCAAGAGTTCATAGCCGCTTCCAAGAACGGGGTTTTATATCCACGGTTTTCTTTTTCAGGGGAGCACTAGCAGCACTGCCAAATTTCTGAATATGGCACATGATCACGTAACATTATATGACCACATAAGTTACCTAATCACGGAGATTACGGGATCATGTGTCACCTAAGTTCAGGCCTAATTAAATCATGCAAGTGCTAAGTATGCCAGCATGATTACAAAATGATAACCAATACAGTAAAACCTCGTTATAACAAAGTTGAAGGAGCGGTCGTAGTTATTTCGTTATAACCATTAGTTTGTTATAGCCAATGTCCATTTCTCCATACTATTAGCAAGCAAGGGGAATTATGATTGCTTTGTTATATCCATTAGTTTGTTATATCCCATTTTGTTATAACGAGGTTTTACTGTAGTGTAAGGTTACGTATCGCATGTCACGTAAGATTAGGAATAAATGGAGCGTGCAAGGCTTAAGTAGGTATGCGTTCTTACTCTTCCTTAGCGGATGGGAGTGAAGAATGCACGAAGCAAGAGGCAGGCAGAAGATGAGGCTGAGCAGCCATGAACATTGTGCCCAGCAATCCCCATATGCACAGCACGCACATCATGTGTATGGTAGAGCTTGACACATTTTGTGCTTCTAAGGCTTTGACAGGATAGTCAAGCTTGGGTAACTTTTTTAAAGTGCAGCTTTTAGACGCCCGTTTCCGGGTTGAGCGGCGTCGGCATTGGCGTAAACGCGTGTTGCATTATGAGACCTTTCCCGTAATGACGTCACACTTGAAGTCTAGCTCAATTTAGCAGAAAAAATGTAACGGAAATTTTTCTGCTAAATTTAACGGGGAAATCGACATCACGTGGCCTCAACACCAATTAAGTTTCCCCGCTGAATTTAGCGGGAGAGTTTCGGTAAATTTCCCGCTGAATTTAGGAAGAATATTTCCCGGCTTTATTTAGCGGGTAAATTTTTGCTTAATTTAGGGGGAAATTGAGCGGAAATTTCCTGATTAATGGGAGGGAAGCAGGAGAGGAGGAGGAAAGGGTATGGAGGGGGAGCAGGGACATACCCTCCCCTCCCCTCCTCAAGAGCTGCTCTCTAATTTTACATTACAGAGAATTGTAAACGTCTTTCATATTTTTTTCTGTTGATCTACACTATTGCCATCGCAACATTAGAATTGCTAATCTTGTGAAAAAAAGTTCCTAATTTACCTTGCCATCAGTGACTTCAAACAGATGCGGCTCACTGACTGGAACAGCAGTGACTGCAGCAGCAGCGACTGTAGCAGCCTGCCCTCGTTCAGGCACTGTTAATATAAGCATCATTGATGAGAGACAGCTAAAAAACTGCACTTCGAACTGATCACCAAACCTATTCGAATCCAATTAGCATAAGCCTCAAACCTAAAGATTGGGATCTGTAAGTCGTGGAAATTAGACAAAAGAAATCAAAATGAAGTGTGAACAAAGCAGATGTTACATGACGTCTGACTTTAGCAGTAATATTTCATTTTTCCCACTGCATTGAATCGTTTTCACCCACAAGGCAGGGCAAGAATAGGACAGAGCGCTCCGTCTTATCCTGGTCTTCCTATTCTGATTTTGTACAATTTTACCTTATATACCTCTTATGCTGTTTTTGCACTCATCATATACAACGAATATTAACTAGCAGAGCTTTTAGCATTATCATAAAGTTGCGGTCTTGCAGCTGAAACGTGACCCCCCCGGCGGAGGGGGGGGGGGGGGGGGGGAGGGGGAGGCAGGCAGCGGGCGGGGCGACGGGCGGCTGCTGCACTGCCACTAAGCTTGCAGTATTGAGTGACGAAAATCTAGCTCTTTCCTTCGGAGCACAAGAGACAGAGATAACAATGAGTGTCCTTGTGATCCTATATGACTCTGACTTACCGACTACTATATCTGTTGTGATGTGTCCCAGCCTATTGTGGCATAAACTTCGTCACCCTTATTATAATGATCCGCCTTCCATCTGGCCCCCTTCATGCCCGTCACGAGAAATTAAGTAAACTAGTACCACTGTATACTGGAAACAAATTAATTTTCACGAAGACCTAATTTTCACGAATCGTCTACATTTTGCAAAAAATAGGTCTCACAAACTATTTGGCTAAAATGTGAACATACAGAAAGCTGTAGTGAGGTCCTTGCGGATTGCAAAAAATGAGTACCAATTAATTATTC